GTAACTTTTATTCTCACTGTAGTATTGTTGCCGCCGCTGCCGCCATTTCGTGAAGGCGCTGTGTTTCATTGTGAAAGCGAAACTACTTTGTTTGGCCTTCCAAAAGAGGACGATATCCGCTTCGTCATGCCTGGAGCTGATCCGTGCTGGTCGCTGAGGAAATACATCAACTTCGCGCTGTGGATCACCAGATCGGCTTACACCGTGGACGAAGCGGAGTCCAGCCCGGGGTCGCCACATGTGGTTGCTGCTCACTCTAGGCCGCCGTGTGTTTTGTTGTGAAAGCGAAACTACTTTGTTGGCCTTCCAAAAGAGGACACGACTAGAAATCAGTGGTTAAGTTGTATTTACAACACTGTTCCAGAACACTTCAACCCAAATATTCAGATGTGTGCAGGGCATTTTATGGAGGACTGCTTCCTGATCCTGGGAGAGTAGACTACAATGCAACGCGTAAACAGTAATTATGTCCCCACTGGATGCAACAAATGCCTCGTTTATAATGGGTTTTAATGTTTTTGTCTCGTCGCTCCGGCCAGGACAGGGCATCACAATATGGTAAGGGGCGTAACATTTCCGTAACACGCTTGAGGTATTCGGCCAATCACAACACACTGGAAGGCTGGCCAATCAGAGCACACCTCGCTTTTCAGACCGATGAGGGGGGCATAGAGGGGAAACAATAATGTACAGGAAAATAATGTGTTTTTTGAACCTTAAACCGCATAAACACATTTCATTACACCAAATACACAAAATAATGTTCTTTTTAGCAACATCATATGACCCCTTTAAACTTTTCCCAGTCAAACATCAAGAATGAAAGAGAACAGGCACCTTTGTTTATATTGCTGTGTGTAGAACGTTAGCTGCTTTTTTAATATTTAATTTTAATGAAATGTAAATTCGTCCACCGCACTTTATTCGGGCAGGTGTGTTCATGTAGAGGTTTCTAGATTTAAATTCAAAGAGACCGTATTGATTGTTTTGTTTTATAAGGCGGAAGATTCAAATTTAGTCTCCATATAGCATATCTTTATCTATTATCCTTATATTTGTGAAAACAAAGGCATCAAAGCAAAGTAGCTTAGTGCACTTTACAATTTCTCTGAGATTTTTGTCAAATAACCAATTTGTTTCAGTGTCAACTGTCTCTTGGTAAAATCTGAGTTTCTCCCATGCATATGATCATGTTAGTTTGGACCGGCCTTTCTGTGTAGCTTGTTTTCTGTGAGCTTTAGTTTTGAGCTGTGTGGAGGAAATGCTTTTCAGAGAATCTTTCTTCCCCACACTGATTTCCTCCGCTCCCGCTTTCCACTGCAACAACTGGCCATCCTCCCCGCCCGTCAACAGAGACCGACCGATCGCATCCCACTGGAAGCATCTCACTGTAGCTGAATGACCCCCTTTGAGGGATTTAATGAACCTCAGACCACACCCACTGCAGTCCAGGAGGTGGAGCTCTCCATGATTACTCCCTCCCACTAAAAGAATACGCTCCTCGTCTGATAGCCATGTACCGCCCACAAAGTACTCAAGCGACGCTCCATTGGGGAGCTGGACAAGTGGCTGAGCATCAGCCGAACTCAGAAGTGTCAAAGTGTCATCGCTGTCTGGGCGAGCCACATCCCACAGGTTTAGCCCTTCATCATGGGTCAGACAAAGCAGCTGGTCAAGATCTTTGCCTGTTAATATAAGAAATGAAATGACAGTTTAGGGCTCTGGGGAGTACAAATATGCTGATGTTTAACATTTTAATTCAAATGGAATTTGAAACTCACATTTTCAGCAGTTTTTTGCTACTTGGTAGTAATAAGATTTAAAAAGTTATGTATGTGAATTTACTTAGAAAGGGCAATTTCTAGTCAATTAAATATTTAACAACAAAGCATAGATTAAAAAAATGATTCTATACTATTATCAGTATTATTATTGTTTGATTATATTCATAAAGTGAATATATAAAACAAATCATTATTATTGTTTATATGTATACATTAAAAAATGTTATATTATTTATATCATTGTTTTATATATATATATAATTACATAAAAGTGACTGCACTTAGAAAGCACAGTTTGTAGTCAAATTAAATATAGCATATCTATTACTATTTATTCTTACATTTACTATTTTGCTTAATATAACTGTTTTACAGGCCTGGTTATCACAATTTAATGGCTAAGCATACCAAGAAAAAATATTCAATATGAATATTATTATTAAAAATGAAAACATCTTAAGAAGTGTTTTACAGGCCTGGTCATCAAAATGTAAAAATTCTAATATTTTCCATGACTGAGGGAACTGTCTTCTGTACATGGTGACATATAAAAACATTGCTCAAGTTTTACTTTTATATCGTTTGGATTGCTCAGTCAGGTGTGCTGTTACTGGCTACCTGTCCAGCAGAGGGAGCTTGCAGAAGAATTGCAGTTACAGGTTGTGACAAGAGCATCATCCTCGCCACCCAGACTCAGATCGAACACGTTCACAAGCCCATCTGTGGCTCCTGAAGCCAACCGATCTGCCTGCCGTGGGTGGAACTTCACCGTAGTGATATCATCACTGTGTGACTCGGAGTAAACGCCCAGCAGACGGCCCATCTCAGAGCCTGTCTCACCTCTGTCCTGAAGCATACGGGCATCCCAGAATACCAAAAAACTGTCCTCCTCCACCTGCTCCGTGCCTGCACACAGCACACGATCACTACAGCTCACATCAAACGAGCAGTACGAATGTGTCGAATCGCTGCGGAACACCTGGGAGGCATCAGAACCGGGCCGCCGGATGTCCCAGCACCGCATTGTCCCATCAGCAGAGCCGGTGAACAGCAGGTGAGGGGAGAGATGAGAGAAAAGCACCCCACACACAGGAGCTGTGTGACCCTGCAACTCACCCACCAGGCGGAGCGTCTCTCTGCTGTGCAGGTGCACAGAGTGATTGGAGCAGCACACAGCCAGCACATCTGACACACCGCTGGCACAGGACGCAATAGAGAGGTCCAGAATGTACATGGCCTCACTGGGCTGCAGCCTCCTAGCGATGGAGAGAGACCTAAAGGTGTCCTCTAGAGTGTCCATGATCGTCACCGATTACCCTGACACCTTAAAGGAAAAGAGGACTTAGTTATTTCACAGAATTTATCTAAAGTGACTTAAAGCAGAGGTTCTCTACTGGTCACAGATCACAGAATTATTGCCTGCTAAGAGAACGAAACCATGGAAAACGAAGAGACAATTAAAAACCATAATTGTTTCGTTTAATGAATAAGAAATTATTTTGCATAATCATACAGTTCATGTTAATAATTAAATGTTAATTTTAAGGACTATGATTTGTTGCTACATGGTCCTGAAGTGAAATAATTTAAGAGCCACCGATTTACTGTACTATTTATTAGACTTTTACTTGAAGTCATTGTTTAGTGTCTAGATCAGAGGTCTTCAATTTTTAAATGCCACAGACCCAAAATATGATCATCATTGTGCATGGGATCTGCATTCTTAAAATGTAAAAGGCAGCTATATACCTTCATATATTAAGACCCAATGTATACAGTAAAAACTAATATTATATATATAAATATATTTAAATATTTAGTTTACTGCTACTTTTACATTATTATATCATTTTCTACTCACTATAGTACTGTACAGTAAGATTTATTATTTATTTAAAACTGATTTATATTATTTTTATTTGCATCAAAATCTACTTAATTACATTTATTTAAATTGGTTAATTTATTATGATTTTTCTCTCTAAACTTTTCCAGTTTGAAAACCCCTGGTCTTGATCTAGATCAAATAAATCAATAAAGATCACTAAACCGATATGACTTTAGTTAAGACGATTATTTCTCAATTATCTGGAAAGTGATGCAGAGTTATTCAGCCAGAGACGAATTTGACTGTTTCTTTGCATATTAAATGTAAACAAAACATAGTTAACACATTGCAACAAAGTAGAAATCTCACAGCCCGAAGTACTCAACACTTACTGATCATTAATAATATGAGTAAAGCCCCCTCTGTTTTAATCAACAGACAGAAATGATTGCACAGACACTCACATGTGATAATTTTTGACAGACATCAGTGTGCCACCTCCTTCGCTTCTCACCGGAAACACAGGTTTTTTTGACACACATTTTACGATACACTGGCTTCATTTGTTCTAAAACGAAAAAGAACTGTAGGTCATCAACATTTTTCAATCTGAGACACGACGACACATTATTTATTCGTATTCGTGTCTAACATGTGAAGAGTTAAGAAACAAAGACTATACAGCGCTTTGCCGCCAGTAGATGGCAGTGTTTTTCTGTATTTGAAAATGAGCAATCCTAAAACTGCACGCATGGCATTTTCAACAGTGTTATTCATGCATTCATTCTGCCATTATACATGCAAATGTTAAAGGGGTCATATGATGCGATTTCAAGTTTTCCTTTCTCTTTGGCGTGTTACAAGCTGATTGTGCATAGATAAGATCCCTGAAGTTGCAAAGACTAAAGTCTCAAAACCAAAGAGATATTCTTTATCAAAGTTAAGACTCTGCCACGCCCCCCTAAAACGGCTCGTTCTAACACGCCCCCACATATCTACCTCACTATGTGGAAATATTAGCATAATGCCACCCAAATGTTCACGCAAAGAAAGAAGGCGTGGTTTCAGTAACCGCAGTTAGTGTTGAAGCAGCCATGTCAGAGAGACGCTGTGTGTTTCTAGGCGAAAGCAAAAGCACTTTATTTGGCCTTCCAGAAGTAGACGCATTTAGGAATCTTTAAGATTACTTACAACAGAAGAGCAATGCATTTTATGGACGACCGTTTCGTGAACCTAGGAGAGGAGGTCATTCTGACTTTGCTATGACAATCTGGCGCTTCTGAATCAGCTACTGTTTTGTTATTAGTTTAAGTATTTGCTATTGACTGTTCAAATGCGGAGTTTTGCGCATCGTGTGTGTGTGTGTGAGAGAGAGAGCGCGAGAGAGCGCGCGTCACATCACAGTGGAGTCAGCTGTCGTAACCGTGGCTTGTGTACTGCAAACACATACCACCTTCATCACTGTCTCTGACTCTGTTCCCCTTTCGGGCTCTGTCTTTACATTTATTTTGAAAGATGAAGCTCGCGATTATGGTAAGGGGCGTTATATTTCCGACGAGTGCTTGTGGTGTTCGGCCAATCACAATGCACTGGGTCAGCTGGCCAATCAGAGCAGACTGCGCTTGTCGGAAGGAGGGACTTTGTAGAAAACGAAGCGTTTGAGAGAGGCGGGGCATAGAGGACCTACAATAATGTACAGTATTTGAAAAATAATGTGTTTTTTGAACATTAAAGCATGTCAACATACACAAAATAATGATCTTTAAAAAAAGCATCATATGACCCCTTTAATTTTGTTCCGTACGTCGCTTCAAAACAAGTTGTATATGTGGTACTTTGCCAGAAACCCTTACAATTACAAATTACAAGCTAGTACAGCAGTAAATTGGTTTAGCTACTTCTGTTTTCAAAAACTGTTGGAGAAGATTAAACAGGAAGATATACCTGGGACATTTATATTGGAGAATGAAAGAGTATAATGTAACAAGGGTGTCATTGTGATGAGAATAGAAGATGCTTTTTTTTTTCTTTGTCCGCTTGTCGCCTAGTTGTTAAACTCCCAAAGGACACAAACGGGAGTGAAACTTGACATCTGAAACAACAATCAGCATTGTCATCAGATGAAGACAGGAAGTATTTTGCTGACTTGAGCAGTACAGCAGGCCCATGTTAACCTTTATGATCACATTTCCAAAAATCCTGTCCTTTTGTTCACTTTTAGCCTGTAGGGCCTGCATGAAAGTCCCCAGGACTATATTAAATAGCAAGGACTTGACATGAGCATTTGACATGAGACATAAAACTTAGTAAACCAGTAAACTTTTGAAATTTGCCCCTGAGCTGCTCCAGCTTATTGTTGAGTGTATTTGTGTCTGACTGCATATAAGAAGCAAAGAGGTGTGTATAGTAAAGAGTACAGTGTGTGCTGAGTAGGTATGCATACACACACAGGCCTGTGCCAGCAAGCAGAGCAAAAACAACCTGTCTTTAACCCTATAAAGCCTACTGCATCATATTTGATACATGAATATCTAAGGCCTCTAAATGATCAACATGATCAACATTGTGCTGAAAAACCTGTTGTTCACAATCTGCTACATGACTTCTGTTGTCTGATTGAAAGTTAATATGTTCAGGTCATGGTACACGTTTCTTTTTGCTGTGAAATCTTAATTGAATTTTTATAACGTAAACATAAGAATAACTTTTATAATATAAGTAATACTTTACTGGACTGAAGCAACTTAGGTTCACTTGATTATCCATCCATACACAATATTAGTTATAAGGATCTCATTGATTTACATTACAAGCTCAGAATTGCATCTTTACTTTTTGGCCATATAAATAAAAACATCTGCATTAAATGTCATATTTTTGCTTAGTTCGGGCCTCTGAATAAAAAAAGTGTTTTTTTCCTCCTCAAGTGTAAGCTCCATGTTCTCACTATATCATATTTGAGACATTAAAATCTGATGCATCAAATATGATACAAAAAATTTAAAATGTTTTTTTAATATATATATTTTGTCCAAGGTTTTAATAAACCACACTACACTACATTCAAAAAACATTTTTCTGACTATTATTTCATGTGTCAAGGCTTTACAGGGTTAAACCTTAGCCAGGTCTGAAATACTCTACAATCTACTAAAAGCCATGTGTGTTCAGTATTTTAAATGAACACAAATAAGATCTTGCTCATTTTTCTAATATACTACATCTTATATGACTGAACAGTGAAAGGAAAAGAGAAGAGGGTTTTTTTGTAATGTGAACTGCCAGGGCAAATCTATCCGGCTAAACATGCTCAGCATTGCTCACACATGTACATTAATATTTCAGGCATTACAGAGAAATCCTTGATATCAGCAGGAACACTTAAGCTTCCTGTGGAACATTGGCTGAGCAAACGTGTGCTTATCAAACCCAGTCATACGATTCTGTTAATAAGATGCCATTTCTTTATTTATTTTTTCTTCAGAAACAGACCAAAGTAAGAGCCTTTTTGCTTTTTATTGAGCATAATATTCAAATGTAATGAAGTAGGAAACAATAAAGTTCATCAGATAACAATTTCTATGAAAATTTTTTAACAAAGCTTTATTAACAAGGCATTTTATTAACATAAGGGCACAGGTCTCCTTATAACACTGAATTCTTGGTTGGTCATTTGTGCTTTACGTTTTTAGCCCTGCGGGAGTGCGATTCTTCCAGTGTCACGTGCTGGATGAAGGTCAGCAGACTTTTGTTTTGTCTGAAAGTTCAGTTCAAAAGTTACATTTTAAAATGTTGGTATTTGCAGGTTTTATAATGCACCTACATCGAGCTCTTAACACCTTCAGAATGCCTCCAACAATATTTAGAGACGGCAAAGTCATCTGTATTTACAGATCATTAAAAAGGAAATCAAAAAGACCAAGATTATTATCACACAGGAGAATCAGAACTCCAAAAATAACATTTTACACAAACACGCATACAGTATTCCAAAGCTTCTGGGACACATTTGGTACTAAGACTGAAAAATTACAATGAAAAACACAATAAGTAGCAAAACAACCAAACAGACATTTTAAGTGATCCCACTCAGTGGCTTTACATTGAAATAAACATCCAAAGCAATGGGAGGGTGTCTGTTCAAATGAGACAAATGTTACATTTCTGTAATATATTTATGAAATGGTTATGACAGCAAAGTGAACACCAGTGGAGGATAAAAGACACATTTAATATGCAACATTTTTCTTGTTTGAAAAACAGTAGAAAGATGTAGAGCTAATCACTGATAAACCCAGTCTTATTTTAGTATTATTTATGTTATTACAGTATTTACAAATATTTTTAATTAGCTTTTATTTTTATATTTTCAGTTTTCAATTTAATTTTGTGCTTTTGTCATTTCATTTTTTTTTTATATAAAGTTTTAATGTATTTCTATTTAAGGTTTAGTAATTCAGTACTCCAAATTTAAACGTGTTGCCAAGGCAACATTTCTATTTTTATTTTATTTTATTTTTTTAGTTGTAGATTAAAAAAACAACATTGGATGAACCAGGATGGACTGAGCAGCAATCAGTAATTCTGATTCAGTTTAAAGTTTGTCGAATGCTCTATTTGGTTGATAGAAAGAAGAATGGAAAAGAAACAGATGGGAATAATTGTCTGTGCTTATCAAACATCGCAGAGATTTACATAAAAGGCACTGTGTGGTATCCAAATCGCATCTACTTATTCAGAATAAGCTGTGTTATTTTCAGTAAAACCAGAGAAAACCGAATCAAAGGAAATAAAGCACTTTAAAATAAACTCCACCACTGGACCAGCTTCTCAGAAGATTCATCTAGATCATGAGCAGGACCACACAGACTCTGCTGCCTTTTTCTTCATTTGGTGCTGATTATAGGGGAATTGTTTTCATTTAGACATGGGAAAATGAGGTAAATGACCGGGGAGTACTACTTTTCTGTTGTTAAATAGTTATCAAATTATATTAAAATATTGTTATAAAACATATTAAATAAACAAGAAAGGGCTACAGCATGTCTTGAGCTTTTTGAATGATATGCAATCCAATCTTTTGAAAATCTGCAGATTCAGCGTAGGACTGAAAAGGGGGAAAACTAACCTACGTAATGGATTTACAACTACTGAAAGCACTCATATTTGGTCATAAACACATGACAGATTACTAGAACACAGGCCTGAGAAAAATGCTACAATCTACCTACTGCCATCCACAAACACACAATTATTATGGAACCACGCAGTAAGGAACAAGCCCAATTGGTCCAGAAAGCAATGCTCGCCAAAGAGGATCTTCTTCTCACATTCTGTCCTAAATATAACCTTCAACCTTTGCCTCTTCCATATAACCTCTGACCTTATAATTACATAGATCTGCATTGTTCTAGGGCCAAAGGTCAGCATTGCTCTGAGCTGAGAAGAGCAACTGGTTGTCTCATCATTCAGAGAATCCTAAACAATCCTGTTTACAGAAGTGAGGATTTGGGAAACCACCTTCTCTTTCAGCAAAAAAAGGAACTTACATGTGCACAAAGACACACAAGGCCACAGGAAGAGTATTAACACGGACACAGCAGTGTCATGCAATAAGCCTGACCTATTACAAGATCATCGCAGCGACATGCACAACAGCAGGCAGCAGAGCAATGCAATCTGGGAATAGTGCATTTAAATCAGTACCACAAGTTCATCTTAACTATACATCAAACACAAGGCAGAATTATTCATAGGCTGAGTGACAAACCTGAAATTTACGCGTGTTTCAACCTGACTGAAAACACATGGCTAAATGCTAGTAGAGAAAGCATTTATTAGTCTAGTGCTGCTTTTCTTTGCAACCAACACCACCACACATATTTACACACACACACACACACACACACACACACACACACATATTCTAAGCAGCAACTTACAGGGAATATAAGCAGTTATCAATATAAACTACAACAAAATTACCACAAAGATCAATGCTGCTCCCAACGCTCTATTAACATTTGAGATTTCAGATTCAAATCTCGCAAACAAAAGAAATATAAATGCTGCCATCAGTTCCAGCCAATTCATCGTAGAGATTTTTGCATGCTAATTTGCATGAGTCACACCTTCAAAAAGAGAAATTTCAGTCAACTCTTGATGCAAGAATTGGAGTCCCTCCTACTGTGGCATGAAAAAACTTGTCAAAAGACTAGTCAGAATTCCTCTAAAGTTTGATAATTAGCACAAATGCTTTATTGCTTGCGAAAAATATAACAAGCACTGTAGGATACAAAAGTTTTCATTTTTAGATAAGAATAGAATCTGATAGATATGCTACTGTACTATACATGCAAACTGCACAGAAAAGGGCAATATTCTCTGGATCAGCACCAAACAGGTATTTTGAACAGAACATCTGATAAAACTACAGTATAAATGATGAAAAACGCATTTGAGGAGCATCTGGAAGGTGTAGCACAGTGTTACATGATTGGCATTAGTTCCATCCAATCACTGATTCAAAGGGAGTTGCCTCTGCAGTCCAATTGGGCTCTTATTGGCTGAAAGAATAGGTGTTTCTTCCATCTAATCACAACAGGCCCACATGTGCAAACAGGAAAGGCACAAGGAAAAGCGCATTTAACCCCACTGTTCCGTAGACGATATAACGATATGGCAGCTCCACCTCCATGTGCTGCCTGGCCTTCCGAACGTCGTTGCTGGGAATCCCAAAGAGCCAGCAGACGAGCGGGATAGCAAGAGCCTTCATTACGACTCTGGTAGCCAAGAGAATGAGGACACCGAGGAGAAAGCGGAGTAGACAGAGTCCGATCAGGCTGAGGGTGAAAGATGGGGGCTGAAGAGGCAACACTGATACAGGTGGGTCTGGCAAAAGGCCCAGGTGGTAGTTGATGTGGGATGCCAAGGCAATACCCGCCCCAGAGCCCAGGATTTGGGCAGTGTCGCCGCGTGAGGTGCTCCAGGTGTCCAAGGTGAAGGAGAAGAGGCCTAGTCCTACGTGAAGGGAGATGATGATGAGCGGGGCATAGGGATGTGTGCAGTTAAAGGTGTCGATGATGTCCAGAGCAGGACTGAAGACCACCAGGATCAGCAAACTGTACAGAAAACCAGCAATAATGTCCTGGAGAGCATAAAAAAATATATATAAATAAATAAATAAATATATATATATACAGTGGGTACGGAAAGTATTCAGACCCCCTTAAATTTTTCACTCTTTGTGATATTGCAGCCATTTGCTAAAATCATTTAAGTTTTTTTTTTTCCCTCATTAATGTACACACAGCACCCCATATTGACAGAAAAACAC